TATCATTGTGAGTCAAAACATAGTCGAAGAGAGCGAGCGTACGTTCGAAGGTGTGTTCAAACCTCAGACTCAAAGAGCAGACGTAGATGTGCAGAAAATGACACCTCTTCAAGTGTCAGAGACTGTTACCGAGGACAAGGAAAGTATTTTCGACGTTGTGCCTAAGAGAGAAGGCGTTACAGCTACCCAAGATATCAGCCTTCATGAAACTGTAGTTGGATCCTTGGTGGAGAGTGTTCAGAGTATTCAAGAAATTCACGAAGAGAAACGAGTGTCTTCTCAAGCCACCATGACCCAGACTGTCATAGAGACAGCTATTAAGGTTGAGACGACAGCTGGTGAACGTGAAGAGACATTCGAAGGGAGGTTTAAGCCTGAAGAACAGAAAGGAAAACCTCAAATGGAAGGACTTACTACCGTTACTGTTACCGAAATAGTTTCCAACGAAATTGAAGATGTCCTGCCTGCAGCTATTGCTCCTAAGGAACAGTTGGCTCAGCCTAGTTTGACTGGCAGAGAAGTTCCCGAGGTGACGCAAATAATCACTGGAGCGACTACCGAAGAATTCGAGAAAGTAACTCAAATGAAGGAACAACAAGGTAAACTGGAAGTGGAAGAACTGACTTCGGTGACGATCTCCGAGATAATTTCCAACGAAACGGAAGATGTATTCACTACCAAGTTCGTACCCAAAGATCAGAAGGCAGACTTTAATGTTCTAGGCCGAGAGGCAGCAGAAACATCCCAAGTGACAACCATAGCTGAAACTGAAGATCTTACGGTGGAACGTCCTGAGGAACAGAAAGGAAAACCAAAATTGGAGGAGCTCACTCCGCTCACAATTTCTCACGTCATATCTGGAGAAGCCGAGGAAGCACTACCAACAGCTGAAGTCCTAACGGAGAAGACAGCTCAGCCTAGTCTGACAGGAAGAGACATAGCAGAAACTATACAGGTGTTGACTGTTGCCAGTGCAGAGGAACTCGTGGCACCTAAAGCTCCGGAAGAACAAAAAGGGAAACCTAAATTGGACGAGCTCACTCCGCTCACAGTTTCGCACATTGTGTCTGTAGAAGCTGAAGAAACGCTATTAACAGCTGAGGTTCCAAAGGAGAAGACAGCTCAGCCTAGTTTGACAGGCAGAGATGTAGCAGAGACAATACAGGTGTTGACCGTTGCCAGTGCAGAGGAACTTGCAGCACCGAAAGCTCCAGAAGGACAGAAAGGAATGCCACAAATCGAGGAATTGGCTCCTTTGACAGTTTCACAGGTGATCTCTCAAGAAGCGGAAGAAGCACTGCCTGCGCCAGAATTTCCAGTTGAAAAAGAAGCGCAGCCAAGCATGATAGGCAGAGACGTGGCACAAACGATGGAAGTTCTGACTATGGCGAATGTTGACACGTTAGCTGAAGACAAGAAGCCTGGAGAACAGAAAGGTGTTCCCGGTCTGGAGGAATTTGTATCTATATCGGTGTCGCAAACAGTTTCTACTGAGATGGAAGACGTGCTACCTAGTCCTGAACTGCCTGTTGAGAAAATGGCGCAACCAAGCCTAACAGGTCGTGATATAGCAGAAACTACTCAAATTTTGACAATGATGGCTGCACAAGAGCTAATGGCTGACCGAGCACCAGAGCAATATAAAGGAAAACCAAATGTAGAAGAGCTCGTTTCTATTACTGTTTCTCAGACGGTTTCACACGAGACTGAAGAGACATTAGAGAAGCAAACAGCACCTAGTTCAGTGATTGCTAAACCAGCTCTTACGGGAAGAGAAGTCGCTGAAATCAGTCAAGTTTTAACTGTGACGAGCGTAGAAGAATTAGAAAAGGACGTATTACCTGAAGAGCAGAAAGGAAGACCAAGCTTGGACGAATTGACATCTATAACAGTCTCTCAAGTAGTGTCCAGTGAATTGGAAGATACGCTGCCGTCTCCTGAAAAACCAAATGAGAAGATTGCTCAACCGCAAATGACTGCTAGAGAGATAGCTGAGAAAACTGAAGTTTTGACTGTGACAAGTGTAGAAGAATTAGAAAAGACTGTACTACCTGAAGAACAGAAAGGGAAAACAAGTTTGGACGAATTGACATCATTAACAGTTTCTCAAGTGGTGTCCAACGAATTGGAAGACATTCTACCGTCTCCCGAGAAACCAAGTGAGAAAATTGCTCAACCGCAGATGACTGGTAGAGAGATAGCTGAGAAGACTGAAATCTTGACTGTGACGACTGTAGAGGAACTAGAAAAGTCCATATTACCCGAAGAACAAAAAGGAAAACCAACCTTGGATGAACTGACATCAATTACAGTTTCTCAGGTAGTATCCAATGAATTGGAAGATACTCTACCGTCTCCTGAAAAACCAAGTGAGAAGATTGCTCAACCACAGATGACTAGTAGAGAGATAGCTGAAAAGACTGAAGTCTTGACTGTGACGAATGTAGAGGAATTAGAAAAACCCATATTACCCGAAGAACAAAAAGGAAAACCAACCTTGGACGAATTGACATCAATTACAGTTTCGCAAGTTGTTTCTAGCGAATTAGAAGATACTTTGCCATCTCCTGAGAAACCAAGTGAGAAGATTGCTCAACCACAGATGACTGGTAGAGAAATAGCAGAGAAAACCGAAGTCTTGACTGTGACCAGTGTGGAAGAATTGGAGAAGCCTACATTACCCGAAGAACAGAAAGGAAAGCCAACATTGGACGAATTGACATCAATTACAGTTTCCCAAATTGTTTCTAGCGAATTGGAGGGTACTTTGCCATCTCCTGAGAAACCAAGTGAAAAAATTGCTCAACCACAGATGACTGGTAGAGAAATAGCAGAGAAAACCGAAGTCTTGACTGTAGCCAGTGTGGAAGAATTGGAGAAGCCCACATTACCAGAGGAACAGAAAGGAAAGCCAACATTGGACGAACTGACATCTATAACAGTGTCTCAGGTGGTGTCCAACGAATTGGAAGACACTCTACCGTCTCCCGAGAAACCAAGTGAGAAGATTGCTCAACCACAGATGACTAGTAGAGAGATAGCTGAAAAGACTGAAGTCTTGACTGTGACGAGTGTAGAGGAATTAGAAAAGCCTATATTACCTGAGGAACAAAAAGGAAAACCAACCTTGGACGAATTGACATCAATTACAGTTTCCCAAGTTGTTTCTAGCGAATTAGAGGATACCTTGCCATCTCCTGAGAAACCAAGTGAGAAGATTGCTCAACCACAGATGATTGGTAGAGAGATAGCTGAAAAAACTGAAGTATTGACTGTGACGAGTGTAGAGGAATTAGAAAAGCCCACATTACCCGAGGAACAGAAAGGAAAGCCGATATTGGACGAACTGACGTCTATAACAGTGTCTCAGGTGGTGTCCAACGAATTGGAAGATACTCTACCGTCTCCCGAGAAACCAAGTGAGAAGATTGCTCAACCACAGATGATTGGTAGAGAGATAGCTGAAAAAACTGAAGTATTGACTGTGACGAGTGTAGAGGAATTAGAAAAGCCCACATTACCCGAGGAACAGAAAGGAAAGCCAACATTAGATGAACTGATGTCAATTACAGTTTCCCAAGTTGTTTCTAACGAATTAGAGGATACTTTACCATCTCCTGAGAAACCAAGTGAGAAGATTGCTCAACCACAGATGATTGGCAGAGAGGTAGCAGAGAAAACCGAAGTCTTGACTGTGACGAACGTGGAAGAGTTAGAGAAATTGGAGAAGCCTGACGGCCAGAAAGGTAAACCGGATGTGGAAGAGCTGAGCTTCCTTACTGTTTCAGAAGTGATATCAACAGAAGCTGAGAAAGAATTACCAGCTCCAGAAGCTCCCAAAGAACGCAAAGCTCTTCCGCAGTTGGACAGCATTGAAGTTGCAGAAACATCAGAAGTCTTAACTATGACCAGCGCCCAAGAACTTCCTAAACCAAAAGCACCGGAGGAACAAAAAGGAATGCCTCAACTGGAAGAATTGCTGCCTCTGTCAGTGTCAGAAGTGGCGTTTGGTGAATTAGAGAAGGGTCTTTCAACACCTGATGAACCTACCACTCAAACAGCCAAACCTAGTCTCTTAGGTATCCAAGTTGCTGAGAAATCCCAGGTGATCACATCGGTCACTGCTGAAGAGTTGCAAGAAGCTACCAAACCAGATACCAAACAAATTGTTCCCGAACAAATTCCATTCGAAAGTATAGAACAAATGCAACCAGTGACCCAAGAGAGCGAGGATACACTCGTGGTCGAGAAAACAGCTAAATCGGTCATAGCTGAGATGTCGTTCCGCGTGTCGGAGAGCGTTGAAGTGACACAGGTGACAGCTACGGAACAAGAATCGAAGGAAGTGATAAAAGGCATTGCCAAAGAAGTTTCAGCTCAACCTGACGTAATTAAGCATGAAGTAGCTTTGAAGACTGAGATACAACCGGCTGATGCGGCTGGTGAATTTAAAGTAACTAAGCCTGAGGAAAAGATAGCCAGAGGTGTAGATGAGATTCGGCAAGGTGTGATCGTGACAGAGCCACTGAGCTCTGGTGAAACTGAGTCAGAAATGCCCGAGTCTGCATTACCTTTCGCGAAGTTAGCAAGCGTTACTGTCGAGGCAGAACACCTGGAACACGTTGTGGGTGAGTATTATTGTTATCAACGTATTCGATTGGCATCGACGGGACGGACGTGCACGTGGACGTTTAGGATTCGACCAGAAGACGTATTGACGATAGTGGTTATGCTGATTTGGTTGTTGAGAAATCGTAGGGGATGCTCGATCGAGGCGGAACAACAATCAACGCGCGATCCGTTTAAACGCGTCTTCCAAGCAGGTTTGATAGGGTCGTCGGGTATAGGATAATGGTTGTAAAAATCGTGCAAGGTAGGTATGTAGACTACACCACAGAATCAGACACGATACGAACAGGTTCATAGAAACAACATAGATTACTCTCACACACAGATCATTCATCAGACAAAGTACAGAAATTTCATCCAAAACAGGTTTGTACACTATGAAATCGATGATTCAAGATACACACGATACAAATTAACCAAATCAAGCGCCGAAACACAGATTTCGGCCGCGGTTGTACGTGAGAAGTCAAACCAAAAATAAAAAAAAGAAAAAAGAAAAGTAAAAGAAAAGCAAAATAGTGCGAGAACGATTACTGCCACGACACGATAATCATATCACACTTGTTCTTGTATACATTTCAGAAACTACAGAAGTACCAGCGCAACAACATCACATCACAATCACACAACACACAACAAAACACGATACGCCACAGCAAACGATCGAATCAGACACAGAGGTTATCGAGGAGTACACAACGAAATTCAGGCGCGGAAGTAAGGACGATGAAACTGCCGCGGTTAAGACTAAGAAAACAATCATACGTAAGAAAAAGCCTAAGACAGAGGCCGAAGAGGACAATGTCGTCGTCATTGAGGAGGAACTTGAAGATATCAAACCGAAAGTACCATCGATACCGAAGAAACAGTTTATGCCTATCGAAGAGATCACCACAACGATGGATGTTGAAGAAGTTGTGCCAACGAGAATTGACGAGGTCGAGGAAACTCATAAGGAAGAGGAGAAAGTTGAAGTCGAAGTAATTCAAGTACAAGATACTGATCAAAAGAAGAAAGTTACCAAGAAAATTGTACGAAAGAAAGGGAAAGCGCAAGTTACTGAGGAGACGACGGTGGAGGAAGAAGGAAGAGCTCCGGTAACAACGGCAATCACGAAACCAATGGAAGAAGAAGTATCAGAGGAAGAAACAAAACCATTGGCACCAGTAGACTACATTACATCTACTGAAAAAGTGGAAGAACAAGTGACAGTAACGGAAGAAGTAACAACCGAAGGAAAACCAAAGAAAGTTACTAAAAAGAAGATAATTAAGAGGAGAGGTAAAGAGCAACAGGTGACTGAAGTAGTTACAGTCGAAGAAGAAGGAAAAGCACCAGAGACTAGTGTCATTGAAGGACCAGCCGAAGAAGTAGTAGAAGAGATTGTGAAACGATTACCAACACCACAGTATGCCAAACCATCGGAAGTAGAGGAGATTAGAGAACAAGTTACAGTTAGGGAAGAAGTAACTCGATGGGGTAAACCAAAGAAAACTACAAAGAAGAAAATTATTAAGCGTAAAGGACAGGAACAACAAGTGACAGAGGTGGTTATAGTCGAAGAACAGGGTAAAACACCTGTGACAACTGTGACTGAAGGACCAGTAGAAGAAATCGTTGAAGAAATTATAAAACCACTGCCTGCACCAGAACGTATTACACCAACGGAAGTAGAGGAAGTAAGAGAGCAGGTGACAATCACGGAAGAAGTTACCAGAGAAGGTAAACCAAAGAAGGTTATCAAGAAAAAGATTATTAAACGTAAGGGTAAAGAGCAACAGGTGACTGAAGAAGTAACTGTTGAAGAAGAAGGAAAGAAACCAGAAACCACTGTTACTGAAGGACCAACGGAAGAAGTACTTGAAGAAATAATAAAACCACTACCTGCTCTAGAGAGAATCAAACCAACTGAAGTGGAAGAAGTAAAAGAGCAAGTGACAGTTACTGAAGAAATCACTAAAGAAGGTAAACCTAAGAAGGTAACAAAGAAGAAGATTATTAAACGCAAGGGTAAAGAACAACAAGTGACTGAAGAAGTAATTGTTGAAGAACAAGGTAAACAGCCTGTTACAACTGTAACTGAAGGTCCTGTAGAAGAAATAATAGAAGAAATTATTAAGCCGTTACCCGCTCCAGAACGTATCACGCCAACAGAAGTAGAAGAAGTAAAAGAACAAGTAACAGTTACAGAAGAAGTAACAAAGGAAGGCAAACCAAAGAAAATTACCAAAAAGAAGGTGATTAAACGTAAAGGAAAAGAACAACAAGTGACTGAAGAGATAACTGTTGAAGAACAAGGTAAGAGACCAGTTACGACTGTAACTGAGGGTCCTGTTGAAGAAGTAGTCGAAGAAATTATTAAACCATTACCTGCACCAGAAAAAGTTGTGCCCACTGAAGTTGAGGAAATCAGGGAGCAAGTGACAGTTACCGAAGAAGTTACTAAAGAAGGTAAACCTAAGAAAGTTACTAAGAAGAAAGTTATTAAACGCAAGGGTAAAGAGCAACAAGTGACTGAAGAGGTAACTGTTGAAGAACAAGGTAAACGTCCTGTTACAACTGTAATTGAAAGTCCTGTAGAAGAAATAATAGAAGAAATTATTAAGCCATTACCCGCTTCAGAACGTATCACGCCAACAGAAGTAGAAGAAGTAAGAGAACAAGTAACAGTCACAGAAGAAATTACACACGAAGGAAAGCCAAAGAAGGTTACTAAGAAAAAGGTTATAAAACGTAAAGGTAAGGAACAGCAGGTGACAGAAGTTATCACTGTGGAAGAACAAGGAAAGAGACCGATGACTACTGTAACCGAAGGACCAGTGGAGGAGGTTGTGGAAGAAATCATAAAACCATTACCAGCACCAGAGCGTATTAAACCAACTGAAGTAGAAGAAGTCAGAGAACAAGTGACAGTCACTGAGGAGGTAACGAAATTAGGTAAACCTAAAAAGACAACAAAGAAAAAGATCATTAAACGAAAGGGACAGGAACAGCAAGTAACTGAAGTTGTTACTATTGAAGAGGAAGGAAAAGCACCGGTAACGACCGTTACTGAAGGACCAACAGAAGAGCTTGTGGAAGAAACAATAAAATCATTACCTTCTCCAGAGAAAGTTAAACCAACTGAAATAGAGGAGGTTAGAGAACAGGTGACAATTACTGAGGAAGTTACTAAAGAAGGTAAACCTAAGAAGGTTACTAAGAAGAAGATAATTAAGAAGAAAGGTAAAGAACAACAGGTGACTGAAGAAGTAACTGTTGAAGAACAAGGTAAGAGACCAGTTACAACTGTAACTGAGGGTCCTATAGAAGAAATAATAGAAGAAATTATTAAACCATTACCTGCACCAGAAAGGATTGTACCAACTGAAGTTGAGGAAATCAAAGAGCAAGTGACAGTTACCGAAGAAATTACTAGAGAAGGTAAGCCTAAGAAAATTACCAAAAAGAAAGTCATCAGACGCAAAGGAAAAGAGCAACAAGTCACGGAAGTGGTGACTGTTGAAGAAGAAGGAAAGAAACCAGAAACAACTGTTACTGAAGGACCAACAGAAGAAGTAGTTGAAGAAATAATAAAAGCACTACCTGTTCCAGAGAGAATAAAGCCAACAGAAGTAGAAGAAGTAAGAGAACAAGTAACAGTCACAGAAGAAATTACACACGAAGGAAGGCCTAAGAAAGTTACTAAGAAGAAGGTAATTAAGCGTAAAGGTAAAGAACAGCAGGTCACAGAAGTTGTAACTGTTGAAGAACAAGGAAAGAAACCAATAACCACTGTTACTGAAGGACCAGTGGAAGAAATTGTCGAAGAAGTGATAAAACCATTACCTGCACCAGAGCGTATTAAACCAACTGAAGTAGAAGAAGTCAGAGAACAAGTAACAGTCACAGAGGTAGTGACCAAAGAGGGTAAACCTAAAAAGATTACTAAGAGAAAGGTTATCAAACGTAAAGGTCCAGAACAAAAGGTAACAGAAACAGTAACTGTGGAGGAAGCTGGAAAAGCACCTGTAACAACGGTGACCGAAGGACCAGTAGAAGAAATAATAGAAGAAGTAATAAAACCGGAAGTTATTAAGCCGAAAGATATAGAAGAAGTTACTGAACAAGTTACAGTTAACGAAGAAGTAACAAGAGAAGGAAAACCAAAGAAAACTATAAAAAAGAAAATTATCAAACGTAAAGGAACAGAACAACAAGTTACCGAAATTGTTACAGTTGAAGAGAAAGGAAAAACTCCAGTCACGACAGTAAAAGAAGGTCCAATAGAAGAAGTAGTTGATGAAACAATTAAACCCCTCCCAGAATATGCAAAACCAGGTGAAGTCGAAGAAATTCGCGAACAAGTCACAGTTACTGAGGAAGTCACCAGATCGGGTAAACCGAAGAAAACCATCAAAAAGAAAATCATTAAACGTAAAGGCCCAAAACAACAAGTTACTGAGATTGTGACTGTAGAAGAAGAAGGAAAAGTTCCAGTGACAAAAGTTACCGAAGGACCAGTTGAAGAAATAATAGAGGAAGTCACACAACCATTGCCTGTCCCAGAACATATTGAACCAACTGAAGTTGAAGAAGTACGTGAACAGGTGACAGTCACAGAGGAATTGACTAAAGAAGGTAAACCAAGAAAGACTACTAAGAAAAAGATCATTAAACGTAAAGGTCAAGATCAAAAAGTCACAGAGATAGTAACCGTTGAAGAAAAAGACAAAGCTCCAGTCATTACTGTAAGGGAAGGACCAGTAGAAGAAGTAATTGAAGAGACTATCAAACCACTTCCTGCGGTAGAACGTGTGAAGCCAACTGAAGTAGAAGAGGTACGGGAGCAAGTTACAATTACTGAAGAAATTACGGAAGAAGGTAAACCGAAAAAGACAGTTAAGAAGAAGGTAACTAAACGTAAAGGAAAGGAACAACAGGTGACTGAAGTAGTTACTGTTGAAGAACAAGGAAAAGCTCCTGTTACTACAGTGACTGAAGGTCCAGTAGAAGAAATCATAGAGGAAGAAATAATAAAACCATTGCCTGTATCTGAATATGCGAAACCATCTGAGGTGGAAGAAGTACGTGAACAAGTCACTGTGACACAGGAAGTGACTAAGGAAGACAAACCAAAGAAAACAACTAAAAAGAAGATTATCAAACGTAAAGGAAAAGAACAACAGGTTACAGAAATTGTCACTGTTGAAGAACAAGGAAAAGCACCAGTTGTTGAAGTAACTGAAGGGCCTGTAGAAGAGGTAGTCGAAGAAATAATGAGACCTTTGCCAGTTACAGAGTTTGTTAAGCCGTCTGAAGTAGAAGAAATTCGTGAACAGGTGACTGTAACACAAGAAATAACAGAAGAAGGTAAACCTAAGAAAACTATCAAAAAGAAGATCGTTAAACGGAAAGGAAAGGAGCAGCAAGTTACTGAAGTGGTCACTGTTGAAGAACAAGGAAAGAGACCTGTTACAACTGTCACTGAAGGTCCAATGGAGGAAGTGGTTGAAGAAAAGATCAAACCACTTCCAGTACCAGAATTCGTTAAACCATCTGAAGTAGAGGAAGAGCGTGAACAAGTGACAGTCACAGAAGAAATAACCAAAGAAGGCAAACCAAAGAAAATCACTAAGAAGAAAGTCATTAAGCGTAAAGGAAAGGAACAAAAAGTTACCGAGGTTGTCACTGTCGAAGAACAAGGCAAGGCTCCAGTCACAACAGTCACTGAAGGCCCAATAGAACAGGTTGTGGAAGAAATTATAAAACCACTTCCAGGGCCAGAATCCGTTGAGCCATCTCAGGTAGAAGAAGTACGCGAACAAGTTACTGTAACAGAAGAAGTAACAAGAGAAGGTAAGCCAAAGAAAACAACTAAAAAGAAGATTATTAAACGTAAAGGAAAGGAACAACAAGTGACTGAGGTGGTAACTGTTGAAGAACAAGGAAAGAAACCAGTTACAACAGTTACTGAAGGACCAACAGAAGAAGTTGTGGAAGAAATAATAAAACCATTGCCTACTTCAGAAAGAATAAAACCTACTAAAGTTGAAGAAGTCAGGGAACAAGTGACTGTTACTGAAGAAATAACCAAGGAAGGTAAACCCAAGAAAACAACCAAAAAGAAAATTATTAAACGTAAAGGTAAAGAACAACAGGTGACTGAAGTAGTAACTGTCGAAGAACAAGGAAAGCGTCCCGTTACTACCATTGAGGAAGGTCCAGTGGAAGAAGTGGTCGAAGAAGAGATCAAACTACTTCCAGGACCAGAATTCGTTAAACCATCTGAAGTAGAGGAGGTGCGTGAACAAGTAACCATCACAGAAGTAATAACCAAAGAAGGCAAACCAAAGAAAACTACCAAGAAGAAGGTCATTAAACGTAAAGGAAAGGAACAACAAATTACCGAAGTTGTCACTGTCGAAGAACAAGGAAAAGCACCAGTTACTACAGTTAACGAAGGCCCATTAGAAGAGATAGTAGAAGAAACATTGAAGCCTCTTCCTGCTCCAGAATATGCCAAACCAGTTGAAGCTGAAGAAGTACAAGAACAAGTGACGGTTACAGAAGAAGTTACTAAGGAAGGTAAGCCTAAGAAAATTACCAAGAAGAAGGTGATAAAACGTAAGGGTAAAGAACAACAAGTGACTGAAGAGATAACTGTTGAAGAACAGGGTAAACGACCTGTTACGACCGTAACTGAAGGTCCTGTAGAAGAAGTAGTCGACGAATTCGTAAAGCCTCTTTCACTAATAGAAAGTGTTAAACCGTCTGAAATTGAAGAGGTTCGAGAAGAAGTTACAGTTACTCAAGAAGTGACTAACGAAGGCAAACCAAAGAAGACAACAAAGAAAAAGATTATAAAACGTAAAGGTAAGGAACAACAGATAACGGAAGTTGTCACTGTCGAAGAACAAGGAAAGAGACCTATCACAACTGTCTCTGAAGGTCCTGTCGAGGAAGTGATCGAAGAGACATTGAAAGCTCTGCCCGCACCAGAATATGCTAAACCTGGCGAAGAGGAAGAAGTACGAGAACAGGTTACAGTTACGGAAGAAGTAACACGAGAAGGTAAACCTAAGAAAGTAACCAAGAAGAAAGTCATCAAACGTAAAGGAAAGGAACAGCAAGTGACAGAGGTCGTTACAGTCGAAGAACAAGGCAAAACACCTGTGACAATGGTAACTGAAGGACCCACTGAAGAATTGGTTGAAGAAATAATAAAACCATTGCCCGCTCCAGAAAGGGTCAAACCATTCGAGGAGGAAGAAGTTCGTGAACAAGTAACTGTCACTGAAGTGGTCACTAAGGAAGGTAAACCTAAGAAAGTTACAAAGAAAAAGGTTATTAAACGCAAAGGAAGAGAACAACAAGTGTTTGAAGTAATAACAGTTGAAGAACAAGGCAAAGTACCAGTTACAACTGTCACTGAAGGTCCAACAGAAGAAATATTAGAGGAAACAATCAAGACATTACCAGCACCAGAATACGCCAAGCCAGGTGAGGTCGAGGAGGTTCATGAACAAGTAACGGTTACTCAAGAAGTCACTAAAGAAGGTAAACCAAAGAAAACTACCAAAAAGAAGGTCATTAAACGTAAGGGCAAAGAACAACAAGTTACAGAAGTCGTTACTGTTGAAGAACAAGGAGAGAGACCTGTCACGACTGTCACCGAAGGTCCAATAGAAGAGATAGTTGAAGAAGTGCTGAAACCACTTCCAACTCCAGAATTTATCAAGCCATCAGAAGTAGAAGAAGTCCGGGAACAGGTAACTGTCACTGAGGAAGTAACCAAGGAAGGTAAACCGAAGAAGGTTACTAAAAAGAAAGTAATCAAACGTAAAGGAAGAGAACAACAAGTATCGGAAGTAGTAACGGTTGAAGAACAGGGCAAAGCACCAGTTACCACCGTTACCGAAGGTCCGACAGAAGAAATCGTTGAAGAAACGATTAAATCATTACCAACTCCGGAGTATGCTAAACCAGGCGAGGAAGAAGAGGTCCATGAACAAGTTACTGTCACACAGGAAGTCACTGAAGAAGGCAAACCGAAGAAGACCACCAAGAAGAAAGTTATCAAACGTAAAGGTAAAGAACAACACGTGACAGAAGTTGTCACAGTTGAAGAACAAGGAAAGAGACCTGTGACAACTGTCACGGAAGGTCCCATTGAGGAAGTGGTGGAAGAAACGGTGAAGCCATTGCCTGTCGCGAAATGCGTGAAACCGACAGAAGTTGAAGAAGTACGTGAGCAAGTAACTGTCACTGAAGAAATAAGTGAGGAAGGTAAACCGAAGAAGATCACGAAAAAGAAACTAATCAAACGCAAAGGAAAAGAACAACAGGTGACTGAAGTTGTTACTATAGAAGAACAAGATAAACTTCCAGTCACAACTGTCACTGAAGGTCCTACGGAAGAAGTAATCGAAGAAACACTGAAAGCTCTACCAGCTCCCAAATACGCCAAACCATCAGAAGTGGAGGAGGTTCGCGAGCAGGTGACTGTGACTCAAGAAGTTACAGAGGAAGGTAAACCAAAGAAAACGATCAAGAAGAAAGTTACCAGACGTAAAGGACCGCAGCAACAAGTGACGGAAGTTGTCACAGTCGAGGAAGAAGGAAAAGCTCCTGTGACAACGGTGACTGAAGGACTTGTTGAAGAATTGATTGAAGATGTAATAAAACCACTTCCTGCCCCAGAATACGTGAAGCCAACTGAAGTTGAGGAAGTACGTGAACAAGTGACTGTCACTGAGGAAGTGACTGAGGAAGGTAAACCTAAGAAAGTTACCAAGAAAAAGATCGTAAAACGCAAAGGACGAGAGCAACAAATCACTGAAAAGGTGACTGTTGAGGAACAAGGCAAGAGACCTGTCACAACTGTCACTGAAGGTCCTGTTGAAGAAGTTGTTGAAGAGACAGTGAAAGCTCTTCCTGCTCCAGAACCTGCCAAACCAGGTGAAGTCGAAGAGGTTCGTGAACAGGTTACTGTTACGCGAGAAGTGACAGAAGAAGGAAAGCCTAAGAAAATTACCAAGAAGAAGGTTGTCAAACGTAAAGGAAGAGAACAACAAGTAATAGAAGTTGTCACTGTTGAAGAGCAAGGAAAGAAACCTGTCAGCACTGTCACTGAAGGTCCTGTCGAAGAAGTAGTTGAGGAAACAGTGAAAGCACTACCTGCTCCAGAACATGTAGAACCAACAGAAGAAGAAGAATCACCGGAAGAAATAACAGTAACTGAGGTGGTTACGAAAGAAGGCAAACCGAAAAAAGTTGTTAAAAAGAAGGCTCCTAAAAAAGTTCCTCTACCTGAGGAAGAAAAAATCGAGGCGCCTGAAGCTGCTGAAGTTCCGTTAGAGAAAGATAAGAAGAAACCTGTCAAACTTCAACGTATGAAAATAACAAAATTCGAAGCGACGAAACTCGAAGTTCAAGAGTTGTCCTTTGATAAACCTCAGTTTGCTCAAATCAAACTACGCAAGACTCCAACGGTGAAACGTCCAGTGGAGAAGAAAGAAAAGATTCCTCGAGTTCTTCTTCGAAGTCGAATCATTCCTGTGGAATGGCCACCGGCAAAGAAATACTTGAAAATCGAGGAGCTGGAGCCGAACGAAGTCCAAAATGGTATTTTGTCTCGAAACGTCGAAGAAGCAGATAAATTACCGAGACCAAAGAAGAAGAAGATCAAACGCATAGAAAAGGAGATGTCCAAGCTTGAGAAGCTTGATCAGGAGTTTGAGGAATTGAAGAAAGAATTACCATTGGAGAAACTTGAAGAGCCACTACCTACAGAAAAGAAACCAGAGAAGAAAGTTAAAAAGAAGAAACCCGCTGAGGAAATTAAAGGTGAGAAGCCTCAATTAATGAGGATCAGTATCAAAGAGCAAAAACCAACCAAACCTAAGATCGAAGAACCAGCCACTCCTCTGTTCGCGCAAATCAAGCTGAAGAAAGCTCCTGCCAAGCTGAAAAAGAAAGAGGACAAGGATGAAATCAAGTTCCCTAAGGTACTTTTACGAAGCCGTATCGTAAAATACGAATGGCCACCGTCGATTAAATATCCAGTTATAACCGAACTCGAACCTAATTACGTGCAAAGTGGTATTCTATCTCGTACCATGGAAGAAGCACTGAAACTGAAGAAGATAAAACACAAAAAGGTGAAACTTCCGGAAAAGGAGATTACAGAATTAGAGAAACTGGATCAAGAGTTCGAGGAATTGAAGAAAGTTCCATTGGAGAAGGTCGAAGAAATGGCACCGTACGAACGTAAACCAAAACCGGAGAAGCCTGAGGAAGAGAAGCCGAAGAAACTGAAGATAGGCAAAGGAAAACCTCGACCCGCAGAAGAGGAAGAACCGGAGACAGTAAAGTTGAAAAAGATACCAGAAAAAGTTCCGAGTGTTCCGGAGGAAGAGACTCCCGTTCCAAAGAAGAAAGAGGAGGAAGAGAAACCCAAGAGAGAGAAAGAAGAGAGAGAATATCCTGAATTAAAACCGTTCGAACCGTACGAGGTAGAAGCACCGGAGGTTGAGCTGGAAGAAATGGAGAAACCAGAGTATCCTGAGCCAGAGAAGAAACCATCGAAGAAGGTACCGAGCAAGAAACCAAAGAAAGAGCGTAAGACACCAGCTCAGGAAACCGAGGCTGTTCCGATAGTACCTGGTGTACCAAAGCCAGAGGAACCCGAAGAAGAGGAAGAGATCAAGAGAAGAATTCCTGAAAGGGAAGCTCCGGACGAGGAGCCAGAGAAAATTAAACTGAAACCATGGAAGAAACCAGAAGAAGAGAAGGAAGAAGAGGAAAAGCCCGAGTATTATCTGAAATTCGTTCCCAAAGATGACGACGTTGTCGAAACTGTCGAGGTTGTTACGACCGTAATTACGGAGGAAGAGACACCTGAAAAGAAACCGCGAAAGATTAAAAAGAGGAAGACCACGACGAAACGTGGCGATGAGAAACCGAAAGTTGTCGAAGAGACAACGGTAGAGGAAGAAGGCGTAGAGCCAGTCGTGACCGTCGAGGAAATTGTCGAGGATAAACCTGAAGAAGTTTTACCGATAGAATCGATCGTGCCAACCGCGCCTGTCGAAGAGATCAAAGAAGAGATCGTAACGAGCGAGATCGTGACCGAGGAAGGAACAAAGAGAACCGTGCGCAAAAAGCGTGTGACCAGGAAACGCGAAGGTAAAGAACAGGTCACCGAAGAGGTGACCGTGGAAGAGGAAGGTAAAGAACCATTAATAGCAACAATAGAAATCCACGAAGACACTACACCAGAAATACACGAAAAACCAAAACACAAAAGACCAACAAAACCAAAAGCTGTCGAGAAAGTGACGGAAGGTAAGCCCATTTCTTACGTATTACTATCACCTCGAACAAATTATATTTTCTTTGCACATACCATTATTCATTTACAAAATAGTTCATAAATATATAACATACGATATAAAACAGAACAAGATACAAAGACATGGACAAATATTTATACTTTTACCTGATGTTTATATTTTTTATATGTAATATTTGTCAGTGTATATATTGATAAGCTATTGATTTATACGTATATATATATGCTTTATATCACATCGGTATTGTTTATTCGTTACATGGTTTTGTTAAATGGTTTCCGTTATACAGAAACGCTTAGTTTTCAAGAATGTTGGTTAAACAGATCTAAAGCATTTTGTTCTTTTCGCAGATGTCACGGAGGAAGTGGTGGAAGAGGTAGGATTTACGATTGATTTTACAGTTGTTTTGCCTGCGTAGATCATTTCATAGCGAAAAAGAGAGACAAAAGTAAACAATTGTCCATTTTTTTTTTAAACGAGAAAATTATAAGGTATAATCATAAAAAGTATCTTTTCCAATTTCTTCGGTAGTGTCTTATAATAAAAAGTACTATGGATGTGTGTAATATGTAATACATATGTATATAAAAGAAATAATTTTTGAAGTTCAATCAACAATATATATGTAAAAAATTCCATCTTCCTAACTTTATTTTGCAAAATAATAAAACATGTTATATGAAATGATCTACTACACCTATTATCCAATTAATACTATAAATATAACTTGCTTATTTTTTTCAAAAAAAAAAAAAAAA